CTGGAAAGAGTAATTTAGAGTAACAGGGGTTTAGAATTGCGCTTTCCAGTGTGTATTCCTTATTTCAGCTAACTGAGTCCAGGAATAAAGAAACTCTCACTTTGATGAAGTGCATTCCCACTATTTACAACATAATTACCTTTTCATTGTAACTTTTGCAAGTACACCTGGAACTAGTTACTGAAAACTATTTCCCTTTGGAGTTAGATTTACATCAGCAAGTGCAAATGTTTGAAAACAGTTTTAGCTTTTACTTAATCCTGGCTTTCCTAAGTATTGACACCTACTTAGTGACAATAGCTACTCCAGAACAAAATATTCGCTGGATCTACTGTCACGTTTATTATCTGATAAATCTTTTCTACTCTTTCTTGAATCTTACTTCATAGTTTGAACATTTCACTCTTTTTTTTTAATCAAAGGATAGATGAAAAGATTTCTGCCATTTTTTTCTTGATAAAAAAAGTGTTTGACTCAATCTACACAACATCCAATTTCACATTATGCTTGAATATCCTGATTCTCTCATCCACATTTTAAGCAAAGTCTCCTTGCCTGTTCATTACACTCGCAGAGATCTGCACTCTGCCAAGTTAGAAGCAGCATCAGTTGTTTGTCAAAACTCTCCATGCAGCATGGTCTTTCACAGCCTCTGGCATAGCTTTGCAATTACAGTTAAATTTGCAGTATAAGGAGAGTAAGAAAAACTCTTATTCTTTCTAAGGTTATCAGAAATATTTTTAAACAGATTTCTTCCTTCTTTGTTCAGTCTGTTCTGTACCAAACTCATGTTTACCTGTTATGCTGCAATAAACCATTGGTCTTTTCATTGGGAGAAAAGAATGAAAATCAAATATGCTCAGACTCCTAGTTTTAAAAATATCTGCCAAGTTCTCAATGGATTCATTCTTCTTCTTATTATATATAGTAGAGTCTGCATCCTATTTGTACATTAGTAGAGCTTTCAATGTATACAAAAAGTGCCAGGATAGATTATAACACTGAACATTTCTGGCTCTCCATGAGATGGATGACTAGACAAAAGCAGGACAAGTTTCTCTTACTGCAGGTCCTCCTTTGTCTTTCTATCATAGCTTCTGTGTGAAATACTCAGGTTTTATTTCACAGACAGTGCAGCCAAACTGGTAAAATTCTCAGTGAGGACATTACCCTGTTTCAAAACTGGATGATATCAGCTTGTTCTTATTATATAACAATATGTTTAGAGCCTTGGAAAGTCTATCTTACTAGCTGTCCATATGCAAACTAGAACTATTTTAACTAAAATCAATCTAACATCACAACTTTGATTGAAAAGGTTCATGCTAACATTTACAGAGAAGTCCAATATGTGTCTGCCCAGTTCCTGAGATGCCCTTTCCATCAGCAGGAAGAAGTCCCATTAGGAAATTTTTTTCTTTGTTTCTACAAGGGAGGCTGATTCTTCCAATCAGTACTTACCTCAGTAATGATAGCAGTTTTGTCAAAATATATCTCTGAGAACTGGACTAAAATCAACACTGGATTTTATTCCAGTCCCTGAAAAGCATTCTACATAGCCTAGTAAGAGAACTTTCATCATCCTTTACTAGTCTCGTAAACCACTTAAGCTTGATTCCATACATTTCCTGATGGGAGGAGCTGGTTCTGTCCATGCATTTAATAAATTAATGCATTAGAGGTCATCCTTTTGTATTTAAAGAAAAGTAAACACACACTCAATAAGAGTACAGTGTATGATTAACTACAACCATCTCACAGAAAAGATAATTGCAAAAAATAGTTGAAAACAGTTTGGTTTTAGTTTAGTGTAGTTTATAATGGTTATGTCGATTTTTGAGTATGCTTTTATATTCACATGCATCTGTCAATAAGAATCTTCTTTATTTACCTAGTTTGTCTCTTGCAATATGAAAGCAGTGCAACTGCTTGGTGTTAGAAGGATGTTGTAAAATCTCAAGATATTACACCCCTTGGAGAAATAGCAGAAAGCTACAGAATCGCAAAAGATTTTGTTATTCAGAAAAGGGCAATCAGACATCAAGTAAAGAACTATCTCAAGTTACCTCATCATGACTACAGAATTTACTGAAGCAGAATTTATAGCAGCCTCCTGAAAGCAAGAGCTACAAGTCTTTGCCATCTGTGTCCTGCAGTTCTAGTCTCTTCATTTAGATCCCATGTACAATATAAATAAGAAATATGAAATTTAAATGTAATTTCTCTTATTTTAAACCTCTAATGCTTCTCAGGGAACATGTATAATACAAACACACAATCCTGTTACACTTTTTTGCACACTGAAGTAAAAATTCATGAAAACAGATACACAACTTACGCTTCTCTCTAGAACAAAAGAGAATTTTACCGTAAAACAAAATAATTGCTAAAACAATTAAAAGAAATTCTTAATATCATGCAGTGAAATTTACTACTGTGTAACCTTCTGACTAAAATTACTTCATACCATCCAAATTCTAGAGAATTATTACACCAAGGTCTGAGGCACAGAGAAGGTGTAGATCCTTTGTCTAGCAGAGGTCCATTCCTTCATTATATTAATACATTTATTCCAATATTCATATTTTTGCAAAACACGATTTGTTTCCCCTATCTGCAAAACTCTACAGAGACAAAAGAGATTTCATCTCAATGTCATTTCTAAGTGCACAATGTGGCTATAACTTCAGAAAGTGCCTGAAGTGTTTTAAGCCCTGTTGTACAACGTTTTACAGCAATACTTGCAGAGAATTGATGTGCTGAAAATGTGTTCCATGCCTGAGAAGCCTCTTGTAACTCATAAGACCATTTTAAACTGCCTGCAGTCACTGGTGTGTTTTCATAAAGTGTATCACATCCATTCTTTAACTTAAACAAACAGAAATATTTATGTTGATAGTCCCAGTTTTATCATTGTATAAGCAGCACATAAAATCCCAAATCCACTCTCAGTGACTAAAGAGGTATCAGCTTCAGATTCACAATCTCTGTCTCTAGGCAAATACCCAAGGGCTTCCTGGGACAAGTTACACTGGGTGACAGAGGAGTCTCAGGTGCTTCATAGAGATGCTTTCATTTGCCCCTCTGTGAAACATCCATCTGAATGAATCTCATGAAGAGGAGGGATTTATCAGATCTCATGTGGTTTGTCACCATTCAGATTTGGACCCTTATTTTAAGAGCATTGTGAAATCTAATTTCTGCTGTAACTGCCAAGACAACCAATTGCTATTTCTTTATATTTTTCTTAAAGAAGACAAATTTCTTCACACTTTGTGCAGAAATTTTCCTCCTCTTCCACATAGAAATTAGAGAAATCAGAAGGAAAAAAAATCAATGAGGAGGATGCTTAGAACAGATTATAAAAATGAAAAAGCATCCTCTGGGAACTTTATGAGCACATTTCCATATTTGTCATGCATGTCAAAGTATACCTTTAACTGCTTATATAAGGATGTGAAGATCTGAGCTTTTAGAGACAGGAAATAGAACCAAAATGTCACTGGCTACATCAGCTTTCTTGTACATCTATGCAATCTCTACTGTAATTATTTTCCACTGGAATTCAAAAGAACTGGATATGGCCTGTTAAATTTTTGTCTAAAGTTTAAGTGGTTTGCTTTCACTGAATTTCATCAGAAGGTAATTTGGTTGTGAAGGAAAAAAAAAAAGAATTCTAAGCATCTGCATGCTCATTTTAAACTGGAAGTTTAACATAATTTGAATTTCAATGAAATAAGATGAGAAAGTGTTCAGATTTCAAGTATTTTTAAATTTCTCATGAACGTTTCAGCAGCCTCTAGAACTTGTGTTTCGGTTCACAAGAGCATCTGCTTTTTAAAAATCTGCCAGTTTCCTGCTACTATTGCTATACTGTCAAGTTCCTTTTTATAGTATCTCCTTCTTCAAATCCTAATGCGGGGAGAAGAGATCTTTCATAATCCTGAATGTCTCATTTCCACACAGGCAATAGATATCATTACAAACTTGATCTCTAAAGAGAGAATTTAAAAATATTTTCCTTCCAAAGCCTGCATTTTTGCCAGAAGGATTGGCAAAATATAAATCCTCTGAATGGTACAGTAAATCTCAGGATGAACTAAATCATTAAATTCCAATGAAATCTGCTTGTAATCAAGCTAGAAATACTTTGAAAAACTGCTTGTCTCATGGTTTTTCAATAATTCTAATTTTGGTTTTGTTTCAAGGCCAGAAGTGCCAAACCTGACAATGCATGAAAATAAGCACTGTTCCAAAAGCCATGGCAGCATTTTGAGAAGATCAGCAAAAATCCTCTGCAGGTTTATTTTGACTTCTGTTCAGCTGTCTCCCTAGTCATTTAACTAATTTCAGTATGTGTGGAAATATGTTTTCTTACTTTCTAATTACTTTAGAAACAGCGTTATTACTTTAGAAACAGAGAACATACTAAATTTCATCTCTTATACCTTAGTAATTGCAGGCTTGAAAATGAAGACACTGTTTTAAGCATCTTAATGTTTCTTTCAAGGAGAAAAATTTTTAATTTCTATCACCAAGGTGTGAAAATCGACAGAAAAAAAATTTTGCTCTTCTTGTTATTGTACAATAGGTACACAAGTACGTGTACTACTGAAAACACAGCACAGAAGAAAACAAAGAAGTCCTTGGAACTAAGCTCCTATGAAAATATAGCACATGTCTAATGGTAAGAAAGAAATCAGTAGGTAATACCCAGAAAACAGGCAAAGAACATTACTATATTTCTGCAACTGCATATAAAATTGTAAAGAACATATAAAATAATGGAAAATGCCTAAATAATTACTTAAAACTTATGTCAAACTTATGTCAAATAAAATATTTCTCTCTAGGCAAAAAAAGTGATAATGAATGATACTAATTATTAAGCTATATTAGATTAATGAATTTAATAAATAATATATTTTAGGTAAATTAATAATTTTTAAAATAATAATTAAAATTAATAAAAGAGGGGAGATTTTCACTACTTACTGTCTTTGATTTTCAAACATCTCATTGTAGCAGGTAATTTCCTCATCAAACATCGTCAGAACAACAGAAAACTTGGGATAAAAGCTAGAACTGGTGGTAAACTTTTCCAGTAGATTACTAAATATCTACAAATTTGCAGAAAATTTATTGAACAATAAATAAAGAATGGCAATTTTATTCTAAAACATTTTATTCTAAACCCCGCATTTTTTCCAGAAGTTATTCTGTTAAAATAGCAGAATAATCTGCTAATTAGTTGCTTTTATTGTTGGTTTTGGCTTGGAAATAAACTAGGAATTGCATTAAGAAATGTACATAGAATCCTGGTTTACAGTTACCTTTATTGCCTCTTCATATGCAAGATTACCATTTTGTGTGAATAGTAATGGCATTGAGGAAGAGATTATTAAGAACTGCATGATGGCAACTAACTAGTTTAATAAAGCTATGAAAAATCAAATATAGAAAACCAAAAATAATGGAAAAATCTAGGTAGCTTCATAATGAATAGAAACAAAATTATCACAAAAGAAGATTTAACTTTATATATGTATAAAAATAGATATGAAAATGCTATATCTATAATTAATTATTAGAATAAACTTTATCTTTGTTCTATTTGAAAGTGGTTCTGAAAGACAGTTAAGAATGGTGGCTGGAACAGCGATGTGGAAGACCCATATCTTGTGCTACTGGAAATCAGACCAGACAACCAACCCAAAAATACTTTTTAAGAAGGTATGAAGTACTTGGGGGAAGATGGCAAAACCCTCTAACTTGCATTTAACCATTTCCAAAGTACAGGACACTGAAATAGCAATCATTAAATATGAGAAAGCACTCTGAAGTAGAATTGTAAGACAGCTTGTAGCAAGTAGCTACAAGTAGCATTGTAGCTACAAGCAAGTAGCTTGCAAGTAGCATTGGCCAGGAATGGATGCTTCTTTAGATATTATCCTCTGTATCTCTTAAGCCATAACAATGGGTTAAAAAGCCAGCGTGTAGGGAGTTGACCCTGGCTGGACGCCAGGTACCCATCAACCTGCTCCAGCACTCCCTTCTGCAACTGGACAGAGGAGAGAAACTATAACAAAGAGTTATCATATAACATGAATTGAGATAAGGACCAGGAGAGATCACTTACCGATTACTGTCACGGACAAAACAGACTCAAAGTGGGGATATTATTTAAATTTATTACTAACAAAATCAGAGCAGAAGAATGAGAAGTAAAATAAATCTTAACAACACCTTCCCCTCACCCCTCCCTTTTTCCCAAGTTCTACCTCCTCCCTCCCAGTGGTGCAGGGAGACAAGGAATGGGGGTTACAGTCAGTTCATCACAGGTTGTTCCTGCCACTGCTCAGGGAGAGGAGTCCTTTCCCTGCTTCCCATGGGGTCCCTCCCACAGGATACAGTCCTTCATGAACTACTCCAACATGAGTCCATCCCACAGGCAACAGTACTTCACAAACTGCTGACGTGGGTCGCTTTTTCATGGGGTGCAGCCCTTAAGGCACAGGTTGCTCCTGTGTGGGTCCCCCACAGGGCCACAGGTCCTACCAGGAAAACCTGCTCCAGCGTAGGCTCCTCTCCCCATGGGTCAGCAGGTCCATGCCAGGACCCTGCTCCAGCATGGGCCTTCCACAAAGTCACAGCCTCCTTTGGGCATCCACCTCCTCTGAGGTGGGTCTCTGCACCCCAGTGGTCCTCCATGGGCTGCAGGGGCACAGCTGTCTGCACCATGGGCTGTAGGGGAACCTCAGCTCCAGCATCTGGAGCACCTCCTCCCCCTCCTCCACTGACCTTGGTGTCCGCAGAGTTGTTCACATGTTCTCACTATGCTCTTCTCTGGCTGCAATTTTCATCTGCACAATAACTTTTCTTTCTTTTTACTTCTTAAATACGTTATCATAGAGGTGTTACTGTCATTCCTGATGGGCTTGGCCTTTGCCAGTGGCAGGTCCGTCCTGGAGCTGGCCAGACATGGGGGAAGCTTCTGGCAGCTTCTCACAGAAGCCACCCCTGTAGCCCTCCTGCAACCAAAACCTGGTCGGACAAACCCAATACACAGTGGTACGAAGCTCCAAGGAAACAGCTTCCTAAAGCACAGGACAGACACCTGTCATAGTTTCTCCACATACCCAAATAATTTCAGAGGTCCTGATGGGTTGAGAGAACAAAATTTCTTTTTCTTCTGATCTGGTTGTACCTTTCAGTTAACAACACTTGGAAAAATTGCAGATGTCTTGTGGACAAATTCAAGAGATACAACCAAAAAGTTCACAGTGTGATTTTATATAATTTTTCCCAATGACACATTTGCTGTATTTGAATATGTATTACCAGCAGCAGTCTCAGTTTCTGGCAGTTTGTGGTTAAATATCCCATAAAAGCTAACTCACTTCTTCTATTCTGAACTCACTACACTCATGCTGACAGCCCAAATTACAGTGTTTTATTATATTGCATCTTTACTGTGTATTTTATTTATCTCTGTTGTACCTTCTAGTACTTGGCATCTATTCAAAACCTTTACCTGTGTTCTCCTGCTGTTCTGGGGTTTTTTGTAGCTTCTTTTGCTTTGTATTCAGAGCATTATCTTTACTTTCACATGCAACTTCATTAGTTTAGAAAGCTTATGCAATCTCTCAATGACATCAAATTGTTCATCTGAATTGCTACACAGTTGCAACGATAGCCCGTGTATTAAATCACCAATTATGAACAACTGTAAAATACTGCTCATAAATATGCTATTTAAGGCATAAAGCCACTTTAATTTAGCAGTTAAATTTTTAAATAAAATGTCACAGTAAACATGTATGTTACCTATAAGCAATTCATAATTCAACTGGTTTGCATACTGTCCATTTACTGTTTGTTAGAACTTCATGTCTTGATTTTTTATGTCTCTTCACTGGTTCTGATAATAGAGCATCCATAAAAATTGGAACTTGTCATGGGGCATCTAAATTTAATTCCTGCTGTAACAGCTACATTGACTTGTTTCTGAATTTCTTTGAAAGATGATTTTTTTCCTACATCTAAAAAGCTTTAAAATGCCTTCATTTGGCAATACAATCTATTGTGTATCTCTACCAAGTAAAGTACAGTCTTCTAATTTGTTTTTAATTAACTTTGGTTTTCCTCTAGAGTCTGAAATTGTAGCCCAGTCTCACCATACGCATAAAATAACATGCTTCTATTCAACAGTTGCATAGATATGAACAGTCAGTGAACTTTGTTTGGTGACATTTAACTTTATCATTCTTCATATCCATTGCAAAATCTTGTCTTTTTTTAATGTTTCCAAGATATTTTTATCAACAACTCTTTATTTGTTGGCTTGTTTCTCTGGAAGACCATTTCTAAGTAGTAGCTTTCGAAGAGAGAGGTTTTCTCCATTTTTCTTTGGTGGACATTTTATAAGGGTCATAAGCACCTGCATCCTGTAAAACTAAAAGGAATGTAGGTAATGGCCCCCTATTTCTTCTGAAACTAACACAGGTTTGAAATCTTAGTGAATTAGAGAGAACTCAAATCTACAACATTTATGTCAGGGAAAGTCCTATGTTTTACTGTAATACTTTTTATGGGACTAGTGAGTTATTTTGCTGAACATATCTGCTTAATAAAAATAATCCATGCTGTGAAGAGTTAACTTCTCCCTGTACCAGCTACTTTCATCAGCATCACCCTTCTTCAGCAGAGAGACTACATGCTTCCCATGTTCCTCAGCCAGTCACATCCTATCAACTGTCTGCTTTCTTCCTCTGCCATAGTACAGTGTCCATTTTTTCCCATGTTTTCTGTTTTTCTTGCACAGTTCTTCCTTTGTTCTGTCTCTTCTCCATTACACATGATATGTTTGTAAGATAATGCAAACTCCTTCTCCTAACTCTTGATTTTATTTTTGTATGTTGTACTTGTTGGGATGCATTCGTATAGCACTGAAAGCAAACCCAAGTTGTTCCTCACAGCAATTATACCTGATGGCTTTCTTTCCATTTTCCCTCAGCTTCTCAAGAAATTGTGTTTGCTGAAGCCCTGCAAATTCTCCTTTAGTCCTGCATAACTCAATGTTTTCAATCATCTCTTTTCCACCCTTCTTCTCTTTTCCATCATGTTTTTCATTTTGCTAGATATTTGGCTCATTTACTCATATATTATCTACTCTGATACTTTATATTTACCACCACTATTTTGATTGCTACTTCCATCAAAATTCACTGAGTTTACATGAGATCAAAGTACACAACTCCCACTGATTTTAGTAACTCCCATTGACTTAAATGTGAGTTTTGTGGCTAAATTCCTGCCAACTCAGAAAATACAGGGTCTAGTGAGTATAATCTGAGTTTAGAATCACTTATTTAGAAAAATAATCTTTTAAAAGCTTTTTCTGGTTCCATGGTCTTGCATTATTATGACTTTTAATAGCTGAGGGACCAAAAAAGACATTTTCACAGAAATTAGAGTATTTGAGGTCTGCATGTCCAAATTCAGAACAAATTAGGAAAGATTAGTTATTTTCCCCTGAGTTTTGTCCCTGAATTTTGCCCTTGCTTTTATCAATGCAACCTATGGTGGTGTTCTCTCATCTTTTGCAGATGAACACACAACTTGAACAATGAATGAGTCTGTGAACAAAAATATGCAAATCTTGTTCTTTGTTTCAGTATTTGGATATATCAACTTCAATTTCCTAAATTCTCTCTTCTAACTCAAGTTACTGAAGATGCTAAGACAATTATCTAACTCTACCAGACTGCCTATTGTTCATCCAGCAGAAACTCCTACTTTTATTAGAATGTCATATTATTTATCTAATTCTTCATATATAATTTCTTTTTTCTTCGACACTGTTTCTGTGTCTTAAGTAGTACCCAGGTGCCTACAGCTATAAGACAAGGAAACTTTGTCTAAAAAGTAATGTATTCTCATAGACTATCTGATATAACTAAGAAGAACAGCTGAGCTTTTAGTCTTATAACACCTTCATCTATAACTTAAACTTGTGTTCTTTTCAGCAAGACTAAAATCTGCTGTTATTCTTTGGTAATCTAAAGAATATGTCCCTTTTTAACTCCTTCTTCACGTATCTATAAAGGCAGTTTCTCTAAACCTGGAAATTTGTGTACCCATTTTTCATTTCAGACATCAAGCCAATTCTCACGTATCTACAATCTGTAGTACAATTGAAGACAACAGGTTTTCATTATTTGTCATATTTACTTTTAAAGAAAGTCCAGCAGTTTACAAAATACAAAACCAAACATTAGAAATACCTACCCTAAATCAGAATGTGTAAGTCTTTATTAAAGGCCAGACTGTGATTATCCTTTCTGTAATTTCAAGGGAAAAAATAGTGGAAGGATTTTATATCATAATTTACTGGGAGCCAACTGCTGCTGTGGTCCTGAACACTTCCAGTGAAGATTAAGGTGTTAGCAGAGTCCTGAGTCACCTTCTCAGACCAGTAAGGAAGCTGGCTTTGGAGAAGAGAATTAAGATTCCAGAAAAGGCCAGGGTACTTTAAAGCAAAAAACTTCTTGCATCCCATATTTTAGAGAGGTAATACATGCAATATCACTTAGTGTGCGCAAACAACAGGACTACATTCACTGTCTACTGCTGCTTCTTTGTCAAATAATCTATGATTGGAGTCAGGGTCACCGTATGTCCCTGCATATAAAGTGACTTGCAGCCACAATGGCTGGTATGATATACATCTGGTCTTTAAAATACTGCAAGGTTGTATTGTAAACATATTTTCAGTTATTAATGCTAAGAACTTGATTTTAGTTTGGGCTAAGGAGATATATATATAATTTGTCCATATTTTTCAGATTTTCTTTCCCTACTTTTTCTTTACTGAGGAGACATCCCTTCCATGTGGAAGAAAGCTTTATATAGAAGTTGATAGCATTTATCCAGCCATAAAAGTCTTGGGCATTGAAAAAAGAATATTTGTTAAAATTACTGATTTCCCAACATTTTCTGTTTAATTACAAGAAGATTAAAAGCTACACACGAACTAAATATAAATAATTTTTTTTAAAATTAAGCTCTACAATGCAAAAAATTGAAAAAAAAAAAAGAGTTAATCCCCCAAACCTGTAGCTGTGGAAAACAGGATAGCTGCAGCATAATTTATTTTCATTCTGCCACCCTTATTTACACTATATCAAATTTTACCTCTGAGTCCTGAAAATTGCTCAAAGCAGCTAAATTTTCATTGTAGGTTTTCCTGGAGCATTTTTCAGGATCACCTCATCAGGTGTCCTACCAACATGAATTACACTAGTTCAAAGTACAATTCTAATACAAATTAATCACAGCATGTACTCAAATATTTATCAAAATGTTTCCCAACCTAGTAATTTCAGACTATAGAATTTTGAGATATGAAATAGATTAAATATTTTACCTTAGAAGCAGATTCCAGTCCTTTTGACTCTTGAAAGGCAGGATTTAATGTTGTTACTTAGTGGTGACCATTCATCTGCCAAGTGAATTTCATACAATGAGAGAGCTTTCTGCATTACAAATGTATGGAAAGTTCTATCTCAGAATTCAATTACAAGTATCAATACTTGCTATTCAGAGCAACAGCTCCAAAATAAAGCTCTTTAATTTCAGATTATAATTGAAAATGTAACCAAATTATTGTATATTCTGTTGCTTTTGACACCACTGACAAATACAGGAACTAATCCTGTACCTGCTACTCACATTATCACTAATGCAAGTAATCCCATTCAAATTAAGAACGTGTAAACAAAGATTATTCATGTAAGTAAAAATTACAAGATAGGGTGGATAAATCCCCTGAAATTGAATGATACAAGCCATTTATTTAGTTTCTTTCTCTAAGGTATGTGGTTTCACATGCCCAGTTGAAGCTAAAAGTACAAGTGAGAATACAAAAGCCGAAATAACAGATACTGCACAAGGTGCAGTGAGCAGCGCAGATACCAGTTGTTGAGAAGCAGCTCCCAGGATCTCCCTGCATTCCTCAGTTCATATTCTCTCACATACTCATAGTCTAGGAGGCTCCTGACTCAAGCAGAGGGTCAACCTTATAATCTACTACTTAAGCAGGTATAGCCGACTGCCATGACAGTCCTAATAGAGGAAATGTGACAGAAACAAACACTGGCAGGATTATACTTAGAATTTTTCCTCTATTTTCCTGTCCCAGTTTTAGATCTTCAGACCACCACTACTCAGTTACAGTACAGATGACTTACTAAGAAATGGGATTCTAACCAAGATAACTACATCAAAGGAGCACTTGAGTAAGGAAAAGTTTTAAAAGTCATCTCCATTCTCATTAAAAAGGGCTGAATAAGAATGTTACGGATAAAACCGGTTAGATTTAGACTACAGTTGTCCAAGCTGCCTGGTACCTTCAAATATTAAAATCTTCTCATACACAGCTCCACAACCAGTAATGGACCATTCTAACCACACTTGTGCCACCTAGCCAGGAATATAATGAGCACAGCTGAGCTGGTGAAAAGAGGATTACAATTCCGAGTGAGCTTTTCATGATTTTGAGTCACCCTGAGCCATCAGTTATGCTTCAATCTGCCTCTTTTGCAGCTGGACTTCTTGCCAGCCCTTACTAACAGTCCAGTGCTATGCAAAATTGTCAGTCCTTCAAATGGCAAGGTAAAGGCAATTAGTTTGTAAGGTTAAAAGCAGAGTTTTGTGGAGGGACATCCTATTTTTATACAATTTCTTTAATAAGCAAGCCATATCTAGATCGAGCATGTGTCTTCCGTGCAAGAGTAATAATCACATTTCACCAAAAATTGAATAAGTCTATTGTGTAAATGAAGGACTCCCTAAGCACACATTAACAGGAGAGACCATAGCAATCTATCATCTCAACGATCCCTGAACAACACGATCTGTAAGTAATTTTGATAGAACAGATTGTGACAGCTTCATAGGAATTACTGCAAGTTGCATAGGCAAAAATCTACAGAATAAAAGGAATTGGAATAGGATGTAGGTTGTTCTGTAAATTCATATATGATCAAGTATCGTAAGTGGCCTTACTGAAATGAGTACTTTTTTCACTAGAATAAAAAGACATAGTGAAAGTACAGGAGTACCTAAAGTCTCACATATAAGCTAACCATACTGAGAAAATCAAATTAAGATTTTGTTGCTAAGAGAAAATAGAAATACATAAAAAAGATTTCATTTTATCTTTCAGAAAAAGCAAAAATAAGCACTGTATTTCTTATCATATATAAAACCAGTACACATATATGTACGTTAGCTAGACTGACCCCCCAGTCAACTTATCAGTCCTGCAAGTTGACTGTGTCAGAATGGAAGTCTGGATCTATTTTTTACAAGGAGATGTTATTAATGCATGACAGAGTCTGGTATAGGTGGAAGTAAGTGTGCTGGTATTATTTGGGTTATAAATCTTTTACCCTCACCTCCTTCATTCATCTTTGTATATCATCTTATACAGCGATAGTCACAAGAAATTTGGCAAGTAGGGCAATGCTAGAAAACTGCACAATCCTTCTTTTGGGGAACAATTCTGGTTTTCTCCATTTTATGGAAGTCTCAAACAAGAGACTTACAATTAAATACTTCAAATACAGGGAGAGCAGATAGCAAAATACAACCCTCTCCTCTCAACTTCTTTGCAGAACTAAGAAGTTGCTGTCTGCAAATGAGTGGAATTTATCTGTCAGCCCATAGCTATGAATAGTCAGAAAAAAAATAATTTAGAATAGTTCAGAAATCCTTCTCCATTTTCGTTTAGCCTTCATGTCAACACTTCTTTTACTACTACTGACATTAGTGTATCTTGTCAATAGAGAGGTGTTTACATTTTGACAATTTTGCATGGATAAAAAGAAACAACAGAAAGTTAAAAAAGACAAGCTGAAAGGAACAAATGTTAGCATGTCAATTCCCAAATGCCTTTTTTTTTTTTTTTTTTTTTTTACTTACAATGTGCTGCCTAGATTTTAGCACCTTGATATTAAATAAATACTTCATTTATGTTCCCTCTCCTCTGCTCAGGGACCACTCCGTGTGTAATGAACAAAGGCAATTCAGAGTGATATAGATCATTTCATCAGTACCTCATTGCACTTCACAAAAGCTAATAATGGGCCTTTCTCTCCCTCCTGTAAAGTTCAGTGGGGGCAGAGGTGTCTCAGTTCTCAGTACTGTTGTGAGAGGTAGGAATATGTTTCACAACTGTAACACATTACAGGAGACTTAGCACATGAGAAGCCAAACCAGCAAATCCCAAAACACCCTGATAATGATTGATTTACCTAAATTGTAACACCTCTTTTCCACATTTTTCTGAAACTTTAATGTCTACCAGTGTTACTATTCAGTAACTTCAAACAACTTTCGTGAGTAAAGCACACTAAAAATGAAGAAAGGCATATAACTTAGAAAAATGTGATGAAAATAATAAAACAACACAATACATTGCATATAACAGTTGCTTCTACAGAAAGAGCTCTATGGAAATGTTACAGCATTTGTATTTACTAACCTGTTGTAATCCATTGGGCTGTGTTTACTTTTCTGTGTTTGCCTTCCAACACCAGTGAAACTCTTCCCTCATCACTGAATTTCTTCACTGAACACTTTTCCTCTCTGACTCCCAAGTGCTGTTTTCTCCAGTCCAGATGAGTAGCTGGTGTAAAAAGCTTTGAGGAACAGCAGAAGAGTTTGAGACATCAAAGGTTCTTCTATCCTCTTTCACAAATAAAATGTTTAATTTTGGCTACTTCAGCAGAAGTGCCTTCAGTCACTGTCAGTGGCTTCATTCATGTCTCTCTAACATTGGAAGATGTGTTTGGGTTTTTTACCCAAAAAATAAGTGTGTGTGCTAACAGATGCAGATTGAGACAACCAAAAAATAACTACCCACTTAGTAAACAGTTTAGGCTGGCTACAACATTTTCACTTTAGTAAATGCTATTTGTAAAATAGCATTAATGGTGGCAACCTACTCCTTGTACCTTCTATCATATAAAAACTAGAGCACTCAGTCAGGAATTTGCAGGTATTTGAAGTCACACCTCTGTCCCCCATTTGCCCTCTTCAGAGAGTGCCTTCTCTGAGAACTTTTCCCCCCACTCTCTCTGAGATTTCAGGTGGGAAATTTCAAGAATTCATTTGTCATTTACTTCCTTTTTTTCCATTAAGATATCAAAACTCAGAGCTCACTTTCGTAATTCAAGGAGTCCCCAACACATTTACAATGTAAATCTTCTTGTAATAAATGCAAAAAGGTAAATGTTACAGAATGCAAACCTGATAATGTAGTGACTTTATCCTGATGAAGAGAAGATCACTCGGCACCAGGTAACAAACTCACTGCAGACACAAAAGTGAGACCACAGCAGTTAGGGTCAGATTCAAGAATTTAAGTCTTCACTGAAACACCTTCACTGAAAATCCAACTGTGTCTAATTTCAAGATGCAAGTTCTTCTGTTCTCTGCTTCAGGGCAATCAAATGCAATTCAGCTTTGATCCAAACCCCCATATTGTCACAGCATATATAAGCTCAGGAAAAGGAAGGACTAAAACAGCTGTGAAGCTTTCGTGCTGAAGCATTCTGTCCAGCTCAGAAAAACTTGTGGCTCTTGACATCAATCTACACAGGGAGAGATAGCTTGATTCACATGGTTATAGTTAAATGTTCTTCTTTCCTGGTAACTTTGAAATCAGTTTCACTGTACTAAAGCTATGTTTTTGAAAACAGACTGTAGCAACAATATGGTAATGTGATAATTTTGAGTAATCAAATTTCAACAACTGCAAACAAGTTGTTTTCAAAAGTAGAGTCCTCCTCCCCAAAAACTGCTAATTACAGCCAAAACTTTCTGGCTTTCCTTGTCTCAACTGAATATACATATTGTTTTTCTGACAGTTAATGCAGCATGGGCTACACTATGTTCCTAGTCCACTTCTTTTAAAAAAATGTAAGACATAAAATTGTATTTAATTGTGTATAGACATAAATATTAAAGTGATTACACCATTATATTTCAGAAATTTCATTAAACAGAAAATGCCAGTGCAGAGGCAAAGTCCCACTGGGTAAGAGCTGCCCCCTTTTCTAGGGTTCCAAGGAATTGTTGTCTTTTAAATACAAAACATGTTCTTAAAACTTCTTAATGTATACACTTCGCTGGACATTTTTGGTTCCTCCTTCAAGGTCTATTTTGAATATTTCTGCATAAGCTCATTTCAATTTCTAAAAAGACATACAATTATACCCGCAAGTTTGAAACCTTGCACTTCTCTATTTCAAAATAAGATTCCAGTTAATCATATAGCTGTGCAATATCAGTCTGTGATAGTGATGATGCCCCTGAAAAAAAAAAAAGAGTAACAATTGTTTTGCTCTACAATGCTTGATGTATAATAATCTTTGAATTAATACTCATTTTGTTCTAGAAGTGTATGAAATACAGAAAAACATATAAGTCTTGACAGACAAACTGACCAGAGATGCATGTGCATTGCTATAACACTCAGGGTGAATACTTAGTGGTACCACAGTGATCTGTAGTAGAGTAAGTCGAACAAATGAAACAAATTTCTAGAGCAGGAAAGGAGGCAGATGTAGCAGCTTTTGCAGTTTTGAGGAGGATGTCTTGTATAAAAATATCCCATGGATTGGCATCAATCTGCAGGTATTTTTCTATCCTTCTGAAGATTTTTATATTATTTTTTTCCAAATAAATTAAAAATGCCATACCAAAAAATAAGCCCCAAACCAACCAAACAAAAAACCAAAACCACAAAAAAAAAAAGAAGAAATCTTTTTAAGAAAACAAAACAAAACAAACCAACAAAGAAACAAACAAACAAAACAAAACCAGAATGAATATTTATTATCAGATGTTCTGATTTTTTTTCATTTTGCTTTAGTTTTTTTCCAGACAAACATTTTTGCCAATGTTAAGCAGAAGTTAGGAAAGGTTTGAATTTTTCAAAGATTTTTTTTTATGATAAGTACACAATGAACAGTAAAAAACATCATCCTACTCTTAGAGCTATCTTTTCCTCAACATCATGCAAGATGTAGTAAATATTTACATCCTCATGCTTCACTCTACTCCCCTGTATAATGATATGCTGCCATACCTACACTGTCTTTATCTAAAGTCTGATTCATTAATGATTGTAAGGAACACTGAGAAGCTCACTTAAAAGCATAATATCAGAAACAGCTTTTGCAAGGAGCATCATAAATGAAGTGTCATTATAATAAAATTCAAGTTTTGTATAAGAAAGGATACTATTACATCCATATGTATTTCTTACAGACTAGAAAGAATTATACTGAAAGGTTTTAACCAATAAAAATGTACTGCTATCCATGTTTAAGTACAAAAGAGATCATTCTGTAACAATTCCATTATTAACATCACATATTTGTGAATGGGAAGCCAAGTACAAGAACAGGTTTAAGCTGATCCTTACCAGACACCAGGCACCTGAGGGTTAAAATCTGCACCCCTGCTTTGTTCCTGCTCTCCTATGCCAAGGTGCAACAAAGAGGCCTGGCTCCAGGTGATTCCATGTACCATATGTGCTGCATTTCCTGCACACGCAGGAGTTGGGAACAGCATTTCCAGGTTTACAGCTAGTCTGATTTTTTTGCTTTTTGTCAGTTTAAGCCTGCCCTCTCCTGTTGTTTACACATTTTATTTAATTTGTGCCTTTTATTTTTCCCCCAAATACCAAGGAAAATTAAAAGCATATAACAGGCAGGCACAGCAGGGAAAATGGAAGTATTCCCTCAAAGATATACAGCCAAATTCAGCCCTTTGCAGAATCTGCTCACACAAGCATGAAATTTTCACAGATGTCTGGGTAGTGCAAGGGTAGCATGACTGACATGTTCTGCTGTCTTTGCTATCTGGAATATTTTTGTGGTTCTAGTGTGGGAGGGGCTTCTCTTTCAGAGCATTTCAAAACACAAATCCACATAGTCATTTCCGAAAGGGGAAGATATACACTAACAATGATGCTGACCCACATGCTGAGCTTTAGCCCCTCTGAGCGGTCCTACTGGCTTTGAAGGAGCCATTCATATGGAAAGGCATAGGCTTAGTTGTATGGCCAGATTTTAGGAGGTATGCCAGCTTTGCTGAGGCACCTCAAACTGATTAACAGGTTCTGAGTTCTACCATGGAGGGGCAACAATGAACACTGGAGGCAGAGACACTGTGGGTCATGCTGCAGCTGTGCTCTAGAGAGCTCCAACAGTGGTGATGCTGGCATGGAAGAAAAAGAACAGGGAAACAAGACCATTCAGACAACAGTTTTGAGGCTATTATTATAGCTGCCATGCAGCACATCTCTACTAGAAGAACACTCTACATACCAAAGGTAGTTCCTCATACATAGACTCTTCATGGAGCAAGCATACTCACCCAGGTTTGCAGAGGCAGTAAGATGGCAATCACTGGCAGTAATTCTCTTTCTTCCTCTTGAAATTTGGAATGATCATGCTCTAAACACTGCCAGGAACAACAGAACAACAAAATAAGTCCAATGCTACAAACTAACCACTTTTCAAATTTATTTGGAAATTAAAAGTCTTCAAAAGCAACTAGCATTAGTAAACATTTTGCCTTTGTTACAAATACCGTGATCCATATTTCCCCCTCTCCAAATATCTCTCTCTCTTCCATAAAAAAAGGACCAAAACATTTTAAAATAAATTACATACATAAGCCTATTTTCCTATTTTTAGCAACCAAGTTATGTGTCTACAAAATCAGGGCTCAGGGTCAACAGTGTTAATAGAAAAAACACTGCTTGCAACAAAACCATATATTCAACATCACAATCCTATTTCCACTTTCTGGTCAGAAAGGCTGTTTTCTGACCACATTCATGTAATTAAATAACAGTGAATCTCTTATTAAATACAAGGTCTGATTCTCATCTCACAAGAATTGATAACAAAGTTGCTAGCTGAAGTTTAAAAAAAAAATCACAGTTTATTTATATCTAACATATATAAAATGCTAAGTTTGGGGCAGAGGTAGGGGCAGTGTGATAGTTGTTGTTATGTGTTCTTTTTTTCCCCACAGGAAAAAGATCTGGCAGCATACATCTGTTTCACAGTAAAACCAAGATATTAATATTATCCAGTAATTCAGCTTCTTCCCAGCCTTTGGGCAAACTTTGGTGAAGAGAGAAATACTTTTTCATACTTGTTAATTCTGCCAGTTTCCTCTTTAGGAATTTACATGAGAATATGTTCATTTTCATGCAAGTTAGACTCTGGGGTTCTTTTTTCAAATAGCTTACCAGAGTAATAAATATCATCTGGTTGTAAAGCTACACTCTGCACTATGAGTTAGGTGTTGAGTGCCTGCTTAGTAAAGAAAATACAGTAAACCAATATCATAATGGCACAAAATGAAATACAGATACAATTCCAGACAGTTACATTGAATGCTGAACACTGGGGAAAAAAATTAAATCTTTCAGACAGTGTATTAATAACTCACAGTAACACTGAAAAAATTGATAAACTTATAAATAAACTAAAAAATAATTGCTTTTTGTACTGAACACATTCACTCCCAAAAGAGAAGAAAGAGCTTTTTTGTTACAAAAAACTACACAAGGGTAGAAAATATACATTCTAGAATTCCAGATGAAACCCAGAAAATTAATATTTTCTATTTCTCCCAGGAGACATTTTTAAATTATCAAGGTAGAGACTCAGTAGGAAGTTATTTAACATGTGAGTTTTATCCCACAATTCCAGTTCAGAACAGGCTAAGCAAATGCAACCTTTGTACTGCCAGGGCACTGGAAAAGGGCCTTTGTGTAAATCAAATGCAAGTCTTTAAGTTATGGCCTAGGGAAGACTTAAATAGTGCCAACACCTTTGAGTTACCCTCCATGTGTATCCTCAAACCACTGACTGAACTCCCAACGTCTTGTCCCAGCACGCACAGGATTCAGAGTTAACCCTGGAGCTTGCTGCCTGAGAAGACAGTTGTTTCAAGCTCCTAGTCAAGAGTTTGGAAGTGACGCTGACACAGCGATAGATCCTGAAAGCCAAAGGTTCAGTCTTTCAGTTGAATGGATGAAAATCACTTCTTGAAATCTGAACTACAGATAACCTAAAACATTTCTCTCTCTTAAAGAAAAAGTGAAGTGTTCGAAGTGTTCTCCCTTAAATGTGAGAGAGAGCATACAATAGCAAAAAAAAAAAAAGCTTGTGAGATATATTCTGGAATACTCAGAGTTAATTGTTTGACAAGAAATTCTAACACTGCTCAGAGATGATCTACATAGTTCAGAATATAATGTAATATGCTCCTCTTGAAAGAAGTTGTCAGTATCTGATGGGTTTTTATTACAATTGCTCACTATAAAACGCACTATTTAATTACTAGCATGAAAGTGATTCTAGCATAAAGGAAGAAGGGGAAATGAGACCTCTCCACCTTTTCAACAGTTAATGCACTTGTGCACGTAAAAATACAATGCTTTTTCATATGTATTTTTAATGATGCATTGCATTTTCTTAGATCTGTGGGATCTAATTTCTCTGTTGATGCCCTTAGATATGATGTAATACCTAAAGCAATATATGATGACAGTATATAATTTAAATAAATCTAAAATTCTTAAGATATTGGTCAAGAAGAGATTTGTGATTTTGTGCCCAACTTGACACTCCATTAAATGGCACATGATGCTCAGCTTCTAAAATATACTATCATTCCTAAGACATTTCATGTTGAGTTTCTAAGATAAGACAATTGTTTCCAAAATGTTGAATTAACACTTCTGCAAGGTTGTGTATAATCTGGAACTTTACATTTTCTAACCAGACAGCCAGATTTCAAAACATCCATTCTTCAGATATTGTAATAAAGTAATTGTCAAAATAAACATACTAACACAGAACATAATGACAGAAAACACAAATATTTTAACAGTGAGTGTCAGGTTTTCAATAAAGCAGAGTACAAGTCCGAGTTTATGACAAACAAGTTTTTTTCTTGTGTGCATCTTAGAATCTACAAACTGCAAGTGTACATGGCCATTCAATATTTATATGCACTATCAAAGAAAAAACTGAACACAATGTGAATTTTCCTTACTCTGACTGAAAACTCTTGTACCAGGACAACCATATCCACTAGGAAAGCAGTATTATTTGGAAAGAGGTCAGATCAGACAGATGGCAGAGAAAAGGGAATCAGTGAAATGTTCAGTGTTGGAAAGTTTCAGTAGCAATGTAACATGTTAAAGGACAAAAAAATTGGTCAGTCTCTTCAGCTTCTGAGATTAGTAAAACCAAAGAAAGGTATAGCATAAGCAAAACATTTTTCAAAATTAAATCAAACAAATATAATCACCCATGGCTTTGAGAAAAATATCTGAAATATTTAGTGAAATAAGGTATCAAGCAGTACACTTTCTCTCCATATATAATTCAAAATATTTTCCTGTGTTTTCCAAATGAGTATACACTGTATAAAAAAAATCATGGCACTTTGCTACCTTAATTTTTAACATAAGTTTATGAAACCAGGGTAATTTGTTTTTTATTGCCCAGTGCAACCCTAAAGTAAAGATTTAACCAGAGTTAATTAAGCTATCAAACAAAGATTTGAGCAGATCTGCTTCTGTTGCAAACAACACACAAAATGTTGATGTGGCTCTGTCATCCAGCCACTTGGACTCCTCACCTGGATAACTCTGGGAGATTGATACATTTGGGAATGAAGCTCTGACTCACACAACAACATCCATAGTGGTCAGGGACATAGGTGGCAACAAGCATCTGCTGGGACACTGGGGAGAATCCTGTGGAACTACAGTGAAACCAGTTATCGTTTGCAAACCCTCTGAGCAGTTCAAGGGAAGGATTTTACATAGTCATACTATCAAGGGTCCTGCAAAAATTTTTGTATTAAACACAATTTATATGTACATATTCTCTGTATCTTCTCCTATCCAGCTCAAAAACAGGGACAATATGGATTCCACTGTGCCAGCCATCATGCTATACAACCATTTTCATTTGTACTGCCACAAACAAAGAATTAAATATAAAAGTGGTACCTCTGGTATGAAATCTATCTTTTGTTGTTGAGATTATTTCCTTGCCCAGTGACATAAAAGTGATCAGTATGCCATTATGTGGATAAAACAATTAAAAAGTTTCTCAGAACTAACTCTGTCATCTTGGACAGCAAAATTACTGCTGCAAGGAGCCACCAGTACATTTGTTTTCATTATAATCAAATATACCATCCTAATCAAAATGATAATTTGACAGGGTTTTTTTTGTTCAACTCATGCCAATTTATCTATGTCAGTTCAGTGTTTATTATCTTACTGTCATGAAAGCTCTTAGGCAGACTGCTAGTTCATTATCTATACATGAGTTTAAAACAGTAGTTTGCCTGATCAGAAATGCCAAGCAGCTTATCATTTTACATTTGACAAAATTATTTTGTAATAGGTCACTGGGTTTTCCTCTTAGAAAGCAATCTGTACTGAATTTTTTGTTAAAATATAAGGTAGCCAATGCCTCTACTGGATAACTACAATTTCATTGGAGTACAGTGCTTTGTTTCAATTGATTGTATCTTGCAACAAAAATTTTGGCTAGTTGTAACAAAAATAACTATCAATTCTCAATGATATATTCTATTAAACACCTCTCTGTAAATTCTCAGATGTCATTTCTTTTGTCCACTTACAAGAATATAAAGCTGAAAAAAGTAGATTTTTTTATAGCAAAACACTAACATTAATAAATGCTGAGTCTTAGTAAAAATCTGAACATTTTACATACTACTCTGGGAAAGTAACAAAGACACAGTAAAATAAAACAACAGGGATATAGCCATGTAAAGAAATACAGAAGATTACATTAGTGACGAGTGGTTCATTTATGAGGGAATTGGACTTCTAGCTGTAGTTTGTTCCTTCAAATTTTAAGATCTTGTCTGTAAAAAGCCTTCTCATAATCTCTGTAGAACATTTTCCTAACTACCACTAACACTCAGTACGTTCAGCTTCATATGATCTTGGTATGTACTTTCTAAAGTTGTTTCATCTCTTCTGCCTGAATTTTTTTCTGATGTATCCCAGCCCTGACTTAGTCAGCATCAATAGTCAGCAACACTCTTCTTGATACACTGGTCTTTCTTGAGTTGAGGTTTAACATTTTCTTTAACTTTTAATATCTGTGCACCTTTGCAGGGGCTGTGTGGAGAAATCCCTGTGATTATGCCCTCCAGTTTGCCAGCTTTTGTCAAGTGTTTTGTTTCCTTGTGCTCCCCTGTCTGCATCTGAAGCCTCTGATCTCACACCTACACTGCAACTTCTTTGGGATTCTGTCCTTGGTTAGTCTTTCCCAACCCCACCTTAAAAACCGCCTCTCTTGACTTCAAATACAAATCCCTCTAGTGTACATGTGCCAACACAAACTACTTCAGTTCCCCAGTATCTGCATCTTTCTGTGACAGCTCTCTGGATCACTAGCTGATGATCAGTATGGCTGAAATAAAGTTGTTATTATCTACACCCTTCTCTCTCTCCAAGTTAACCTTGCACAAGATCTCCTGTTGTAATACTGCCATCCTTATGATCACTCAAACACACAATTCAGATATCATCTTCAACTTAGACCTCTGTATAGGTCCTCTCCTAATAGCTATGTACAAGGATTACAGAACCTTACTGCTTAGTGCATGAGGTAGTTTTCCCACACATCTGTATAGGTAAAACTCTTCTCCAAACTCTTATCATCTCACATCTTAGTTATTCCAGTATCGTTTCTTCAAATCCTGCCCAAATGCCATCCTGTTGGATGGTCAAATAATAACACATATACCTTAGCCTACACTGCTCTTCACACTTGAGATTTTCAGAAATACCTGTAAAGGACAGTGTTATCTTCAGATCCTTCCTTCAAACTTTCTCTTACACTGTGCCAATTAAATGCTGAGAAAACTGCTGTGCTACACTCTCAGCCCCGCACTGCCACTGAGTCTTCTGCTTCCTGGTTATACCTACACTGCAAGGACTTCTGGGCAGGGCCAGCTTCTTGTGTTTGTATAGTGCCACCCAGAGCAATGCCCACCTTATGACCAGAACTTCTGGAGGACATTGACCAGTACAGCAAAGCACAGCAAAGCATCACTGTGGTAAGAGCAGCTCTCTTTGTCAGCATAACTTTCCTTGATGCAGAAGGAAGTGAAACCCCAGCAGACCTTTCTTCCCAGACTTTTCTGCTGCAGCTTCTCTTAACAAAATAGTGTCTGCTTGACTTGGAGGCAGTCTGTCCAAGGGACATATCAGTGTCTCACCCTTTGAAGCCTGTCTAGCAGTCAACCAGCTTTCTTTTCCTCATCAGAGAAAGAATAAGGTAAAGTTTTAAGAGACAGAGCGAACAAAAACAGTGTCAAAACAAGCAGGGGCCAGATCCAGAACCTATTACATTTAAAGGAAATGCTAAATTTACTTTAATGGGCTTTGACAAAGGTCCCCTGTTATAAAGAAAAACAGGCTGAAGTTGGCCGAGTCATCACAGTAAGAGGCAGAACTCTCTTCCAGTTCCACCACTGAGTTATTCAGCCATTCCCAGCCACCTGCTGGCAGTTCACACTCCCTCTCCGGGCTGCCTTCCTGTAAAACTAACATATTCCAGCTGTTCTGCGGTCCCAAGCCTTAACTCTTACCTCCCCTTACTAAGTACTTGTCTTCCTCCATATCTTCATTTTTCCCAAGGAACTTCATTTAATGGACTTTATGCAACTCTGTGATGAGGCCTAAGAGAAAGGTGAACTGTTTAGATTCTGGAGTAAAATAAAAAAACAAACAAGCCCCAAATTGGGATCTTCTTCCTTTGGGAATTCTAGAGGGGTGAATAAGATAAAAATAATAATCTGTTCTGGATCTGAATATTTTGCAACCACTTGGTATTTTAATTCTAATGAGAACATAAAAATAAGTGATAAAACAGGTCTTTTAGCATTTCCCTTTCAAATTTATATCTCGGGAACAAAATTAGTCCTTGCCACCCAAGTTTTACATTCATATTCTATCTATACTTTTCATATATATATGGATATAAACTTCTTTATTCTAGTTCTACGGGACAATTGCTGCCTTGGTATATTTATAATACAGCAGACATAGCCTTAGTACTGTTGCCATGTGTCACTGGTCATCATGTGAAAAAAATCAAGGAAAAACCCCTACAGTTTCTTTATAAAAACTAACAAAAGCCTTAATTCAATTTCACTAAACTAAACAAAAAAGTGTTATGATAATTTTGTATGTGTCTTCTTGTCATACAGATAACCAGCTACAGTACAGAGAATGAGTACTTCAGTTCCATCCATGGTTCCCACCTATTAGGGGAAAGGTAAATAAATTCTTCAAGAAGATTGCTTTACTTTGCTGCTTTTCAAAATACATTTTCACATCCTCAGGTACTGTGTGTGGCCAAGCATTGTAATTGTTTCAGTTGGAAGAAACATCAAGTAGAATCTGTCAGTAAGTCAAATGCAGGGTCATAATTTAGGTTCTAAAATGTGACTCTGGGAGATGATGGGGGGAAAATATAAGAGGTCTACAATGACAGTACAGACACCGAGATAACATGGTAGCATACATTTAACCTCCACCTTGCACTCCACCTGTTCACACACAAAGAGTCAATTTATATTCTGTATGTTCTGTCTGTTTTGTGACAGGACATACACAGTTCATATTACAAAGTCATTAGCTGACATGCCTTATTGCAGGACTAATGTACTCTGTCAAATGCCTATGCATGGAAGGAAGCACTTGGGATTGCAATGAAAATATCCATGAGGGATAGCATTGATTCACACCTTACTGGAGGTACTTACGTAAGGCAAGCCAGCTGTTAAAAGGAGAAAGCTGGTTCAGTGCATTCTACAAGGACTTAAGACAGTTTGAGAAACAGTCGCAGTTATTAGGAATACCAAAGTTTTGGTGATCATCAAACATCCTAACAGGTGGCTAAAATGCACCCAGACCTAGCTTACATCTCAACTTTCATGTAGTTGAGAGTCCTTATCAATAAAGTAAAAAGGATTAGAATAAGTTTTTACTACAGAGAAATTAGGCAACAAATAAAATTTATTCCAATTTTGATTTTTTTTACTTGTATACAGTGATATAGGTACATTCTCAGTCTTTAAAAATAGTTTTAAAATTATATATTATTTCTAAGAGTATCAGAAACTGTACAGCATGAAAGGCAATTAGAGCATTGTATATCCATAGGAAGTACTTCAACAGACAGATGTAGAAAAAGAGGGATAAGATGGATTACTCTAAAGCATGCAGGAATTGGTCCAGAAATGTTTCAAAATTTTGCCATTGAATTGTGAAAGAAATAGTGAGAAAATATGGGAAATCCTATGCAAACCACAAAAAAAATTCTGTGGATGATGACTAATCTTCTCTACTGAGCCCATATGCAGAGGCTTTTCCCTGCCCCTAAGAAAGCTAATCAATAAAATATGGAGTCTAATTTGGATTTTTATTTCTAGATCAAATATAAATTATTCATTGGTTCCTTTTGCCTTTTGTAATTTGGGGGATTTTGATCCTGCCTCTTAAAATTTCTAAGTGAAGAGTCTATTTGAAACTTTTCACTATGATATGAGTACCCTGTGAAAGGAGAGAGTCGGTAGTGTCTACCAACCTAGACTACAACTGACTTTCAAGACAGGTAAGATGGTAGTCACATGGAGTTTGGTATATGCTTCATTTAAGGATGCTAAAATTATATGTCTGAAGAGTGGAAATTTGAGAAGTATTGATTTTAACTCTGAGTTACAAATCTCTCCAATTTATTTTTGTATTTGACTCTTTAGGGAGATTTATAGGGAGAATTAGAATATGAGTCTCCCACGTAAACTTCCTTTTGTGTGAAGTGGTATGCTAGTAAAATAGCCTTCAATTGCCACACTCTAAATAGCTCCAGGAGGTCCAAGGTATGGGGACATGGGGCAAGAGACATAGAGCTTTGTCTACGATTTTGAGTAACTGGTGACCCTACTATAAAACAGGTTTATGCTGAGGATTATATCTTTCTAATATACTGTACAACAATGGCAGTTAACACAGATGCTTTAGCAAGATCTTGCTAAGCAATGTATCAGCTTCCAAAAGCAAAGGCTGACAAGTCTTTAAAAGCATAGTGATTGCTATTACAAGTTGCTAAGTAAGGTGTTTAGAAGTATTTAAAAGACACAATCTCTGGGCTAGCTGACATTTTTCTGACGATATTTTCTACTTTGTTTCTTACTCAGATGGCTTCAAGTGGTGATTTGGGCAGCTGGAACCTGGGGGCATATTTGCTTCATTACATAGACTATTTTGTCAGCTGGAGCTGATTTTTTGTTAACACACAGATGGACACAGAAAACCTTCAAAGACGGTACAAATTTATTTTGTTTTAAATGTAAATACCACCCTGGTATCATTAATAGCCAAGCTAGCTTGTTTCTCTTAGCATTCTATGCCTTATATGCCAATAATCTCAGGGCTTTATTTTGCCTGATATAAATTTTCATTAAGCCTGAGGAGGGCTCTTTCTGTCTTTCCTGACTGATTCAGGTTTAATTGGCCTCTAAGGATAGTAAGCTGCTTGAGGGTTCTTTCAGAATCTGTGTTCCTCTGCTTCTTTGCCAAATATTTTTTTATTTCATCTAGCAATTTGTTTCCATCAGCTTCTTTTCTCCATTTTTGCTGCCAGAGACAAAGCTGTTACATTTTTTCTCTCATTATATAAGCATTCCCCCTATCCATGTTCTTGGAACAAACACCATTTTTTGGGTAGCTCCACCTTTTCTTTCAAAGTCTATTCTGACATGCCTTTAAAAAAGGTTTAGTCAGAAGGTTTTTGCTATTTGCCTCTACTCCGGTCTAACTGAATCTCTGCAATAGATGTGTGGGCTGACCATGCCATTTAACTTCTTTCCAGCAAGGCCAAACCAAGTATAAAGAAGTCGGAACATAACTGAATCTAAGATAGAGACAACATGAAAAAAATAGAAAAACAGAAAAACCCTATTATATAAGAAATTCAAAATTATACAGAAAACTACTTTCCTCTTAACTTTCTTTTTCTTTATTAATAATCATATAACATTCTTGAAACTTTTTTTCCTTCTTTCTATTAGGGAAGACTTAGGATTCTTATATGATTTCCTTTAAACTGAAGAGTTTTGCTACCCTTGTGCATTGTCCTGGTTTTTCATTCTCTTCAGTGTGGATATAGAAGCCTCCATTTCAGCAATATTTTATTTCCATAAGAGTGCCGAATCTATTATTTGCTTGCCGTGTCTCTGTGCTTTTATAGTTTCAAAAATAGTCCCATTCTGCAACAGTAATTAGCAGATTTCTAAGCTGGTAGCTCACGGTTTGCTTTTTTGGGCTGTCTTTGTAGCCAGTACTCCTCTGTTCCCCTATGCAGCTTTATTCATGTAACAGATTTCCAACCATAAAGTTTGTGACAGTCAAAGCCATCTCTCTTTTCATAGATGATCACAACATTCAAATTAATGGCCATTTCATATGGCTGAATACTCAGACAGCCAAGCTAAGCCTGAGATGGATTCTGATCTCTCACAGATGATACTTAATTCTTCAGTGGTGTAAACTACAAATTTTGAACCATAACATTGTCAAATATGCTCGCATGTTCATGTCATATTCTTACATTAAAGAGTCTTTTAAAAAGGAAGAGAAAACTATTCCAGAATTTGGTGAAGTCCTGGATAGTAACAGCAGAAATTTTATCAAGAGGAGTCTAGCAAAAGTCAATAATTTACTGCATAACATTTTTTATGTGTAAGAACTAAACATTGCACAGAAAGGCTAAAAAAATGTACTATTTATACAGGGAGAGAAGAAAGACGAAAGACTCCAGAGTGATAAAAGTAATGGGAAAGAAATAATAGGGAGGAGACAGAAAAATAAAATGTTACGACAGAGCAGTCTGCTTCTGACCCAAATGTGGTGAATGCTTCCCATTAAAGCAACTGTCTCAAACTAACGAGCACCTTGAATGAAATTTTGCATCCACTAGACATCAAGGGGGACAAGATTCCATCACAGTCTTTGAGATAAAACCAAATAACTGTATAGATGTTTAAGACTGCTGTTAGTGTGCTTTTTGTAGTCTTTCTTGGAATGAAAAGAATGAGAGAGAAGAGCATGGAAGTAAATAGTTTAACAGTCTCATGCGAGTATTTACGCTTACCTGACTGAAGAGAATCAGGAAAGTAAGTTCTCCTCGCTCAAGTGCTTGTTTGTAATTAGTCTTGGACTCTTTTGTTACCTTTTTCTTCCTCAAAATGTGCAAAACTTTCATGCTCGAAGAAATATTAATCTAAGGTAACAAGTGATAATATATTTGCCTTAGTAAGTTTACATATACAAAGAATATATGTCAATGGATACAAGATCTCTTTTATAAACAACAAAGCCTCACATTACCTGATAATCATCAAATACAGTAGCTGTATCTCAGCCTGGTTTTGAAGTCTTGGGATTGCAGGTTCACATTTCACTTCTCTGCTATGCACAAATTGTCTGCACACACTAAATGAACAGATCAAAAAGTGTGTTGCCAAACACAGAAACTAAACAAGAAAAGAGTAGAAAACTTTTGGCCTCTGTGGCATTTTCCAGTTATTGCTACTTTGAGTGTTCCTCAGATTAAGTACAGGTTAAAATACCTCAAAGAGAAATGTCATTTTAAATCGCAGGGATCACAAATATGTGCTGAACAGTGCACTTGAAAAACAAATCACATTTTGCATGCACACACCAGTCTTTAAACACTCAGTTTGCAAACTGTTTATATTTGACGTGCCAAGTGCTGGGGGGAGGGTTGGTGTTGACTTTTTTATAACTTAGATAACTATTAATTTTTTAAGAATTTTGTTGTAATCTTTTACAGCTGTTAACATTCTCTGATTCTGAAATCTACAGTCTTCTTACAGTATTTGGTGCTGAACTTCAAAACTAGCCTGTTTCTAAAGCATGAGAAAAGTCATGAACATTGATAGAAAATTCACAGCCCTTACTCAAAATAATAAAGGTGTTTCACTTGACTCATTTTTTGTGGCATAACACTGAACCGAGCTTTAATATGGCAATCACTCACTTTTGTCAAAAAACTTAGCAAAACAAAAGAATATAACTTGTGTGTAAGCAATAAATTATTTACGAATTTGTAGATTTAATTATGTATTTTTATAAAAGTGAGAATTTTTTTTAATTTTATAGGTTTAATTGCATGAAGTTATATAGATGGGATAATGTAGTCTTGCACAGTTTTAAAAACCTGTATAATGACTGAACAGTGGACATCCACAAACAGCTCTTTTACCTTAACATTCTCAGATGTAAAGGTCCCTTGCAGTGACATCAGGCCAGTTAACTCTGCCCCCTTTTTATGTGTTCAACATTCAACAGCAGAGTCCTTAGTTTGTTTTTCTACACTATCTCACTCATAAGCAGGACAGAACAAAGTTTTGACCATTTCTGCTCCAATGCTTTCTGCCTTCCACAAATAAACAGACAGGAGACATCTGTTGCTCTTGCTTGAAGAGGCAGGAGGAGCAAAGGAAATTTGGAGAAATTTGGAGAGCTGCAGAAGAGGTGAGTGTTGAGTGAGGCTGAAAATGAAGGCAGTGAAAGATTAACACTGGGAAGTTACAGTTCACCTCACATACTCTGCTCCTGAAGTCAGAGCTCATCCATGATTATTCCCACTCACTAGTGTTTGGTATCGTACATGTACTAAGTGGGAAAATTGTAAAATATGCCAGATCCTTCAATCCTCGTGCATTTAAAATATATCTTATAGCTACACCTTCCTCTGAGGACTGTAAAGACTTTCAGGGAAGCTCTCTCCAAATCCCAGATGAGCAAATACATAATTGGTCATATAAAGAGGTAATTAGCACAACTGAAAATGGTACTATTTCAGTTCTTTGGGTAAATACTGATTGGAGAAGTAATTTTTTTTCTAAGGAAACATAAGAGAAGTCCCCAAATGACATTAAGAATTACACATAACTTTAAAAGGTGTTTTATTTACAGAAACTACTTGAATAGCTCCTTTGGAAGCATTTTGAGCTGTTAAATAAAAATGTATTTAGGATACATTACATGTAGTTAAAACAGCTACAAATGTACGTGGAAAAATTATGATTAAATCCTGTTTCTCAGACAGCAGCTTCGGCACAAGTAACTCCCAGAGCGAATTCTAGATTTAAGTCAAGAACACAAGGCTATGACACCTGTGACTGCCTATGACACCCCCTCACCTCTCACTGGCATGGCAGCACGCTGGACAAACATCACTTAAAAACAAAGGCCACATGTTTGCACCCACAGCCCACTCTCACCACCTGCCTTTTCCCTCCTTAGCCCTGCAGGCCTTGTGTCACCTGGTAATGGGCGGAGGGGAGATTGGGGCTTGGGGCCACAGTGCCCACCCTGCGCTAGGCCACAGATCCCCGGTGTGAGCAGGACCTGGGCCAGCCCTTTGGGATGGTCTCTAAAATAAATAACGTCCATCAAATTGTGCTCTATGTGTGCACATCCCTGTGGAGGTGGCTGCAGTGGAGTGATGGTCTGGGAGCCGCAGGGCTGTGGAGATGTGGGGGGCCTGTGGGTCCTGCACCTGGCACCAGTGTACTGTGGACCTGGGCCACCACAGGCCAGCTACCAGAGCTGTGGAGACAAGTCCTCACCACAGCAGGGAGACTTGGACCATGGGGCTGGGGAACTGAGAAATAACTTTTTCCTCTGACAATAAATAAAACCAATGTGCAAAAGAGCTATGGAAGAGTCAAGCAAGCCTGATGCTACCACAAGACCAACCCCCTCTCTCATTCTTAGCCTCCAGTCTAGTTCCAAAACTAGCTACAATATTCTTGTACTTAAATGAAAGGATTTAGCCAAGACACCACTCAAGCAGCAGCCCACAGTTCAGTCTTTAATGCATATCTGTTTTTCTCTATCGTAAATCACCTATACTAGTGCATATTGCCAGATACAAGCTTCATTAGTTCTCAAGCAATAATGCATAGTAGGGCAAACCCCAGTCTAGCACATGGGCTTCTGCTAGGGTTATGGTATCTGATGACCTAGCAGGAGAATTACAGCAGGAAAGAGGTGCAGTGAAGAACCAAAAGGCAACAAAGACTGCTACGAAAGCAACATGAATATTAGAAAGCTTTATGCAGCTCTCAACTTTTTCTTTCTGGCTCCCTTTCCTTGCTTTATTGCATCTTGTCTAACCCATTGATGGCTTCCCCCCAAATGGCTACAGTGACACTTGTCTGGAAACTGGACCCTAGAAGGTTTCAGTAAGGGCACCAGGGATTAGGACCCATATATCAACTCTTACTATTGTTTGTTTCCACAGCCTTCTGCAGCCCTGCTCCAACCCGTCTGTTCCTACCTCTTCCCACCATCCTCCTGTTGTTCCTATGTTCACAAGTCTTCTTTCCCAGTCCATAAATTTGCCACAAGAACACTCTTTTCTTAACTGCTTGTTCAGTGTCTGGTACTAATAAGCTGCTTTATACCAGCTCACTTACCTGAGCTCTTCTTACCCACTCCCCCATGCTGCTCTTGAAAAGTATGGCAAAGTGTTGCCATACAGCCCTGTGTCTGTCTGCTCCAACCACCCTTGAGCATGAAATGTTCCTTTATGCAAGGCTATAGCTGAGGTCCCAACAGGGATCCAAGGCTTACATAGTAAGGGATACAGCTGTGCCAGATTAGCTTGTCCTCAACAGCTCTGAAACAGGCAAAGAGTGTGACCAAAAACAGCAGGAGATCAGGGAAGTGGAAGAACTGGTGGAAGGCCCTGGAGCAGGTTGCAGCCAAGCTAACGCTACAAGACATGGCTACTTCCCTTTCAGAAGCCATCATTTTCACCACTAAACCTTTCAGCAGTACCACTTGTAGTACTAAAATCAGACTCCAGTACCAGGGAGAGGAATGGCTGATAGAACACAAAAAAAAAAAAGTCTCCAAACCCTCAGCAGCAGAAGCAATAGGATCTTTTTGTATTCCAATACCTTCCCTACATACCAATGATTCATGGAGTGGCCTAGACAAAGAGAACAGAAATCAGGAATCAATTTAAACAGTAAATGTAGATCAGTCCCATCAGAAACATCATCGTAATGTCTCCACCACAGAGTAAACATATGCACAGAATCCCATTGGTTTTCCCTGCAAACCTTACCATCATGTCATTTCTTCAGACACAGCAATGGTGGCTTGCAACATAATGGAGTAGACTTTCTCCTGTGTTTTTCTGTTAAATCAAAACATGTCCTGATGAAAGAAAAACCTCCTAGTCAGGAAGCACCTGTGATGAAGTAGCCACTTGTGGGGTTTGTGCATAAATTATAAATAAAATTCTGTGAATACCTTGCATGGAGGAGTACGTTCCACAGAAACAGAAGGCAGTACTTAAGAATGTGGGTGGGTGGGTGGGTGGCCCAGTGTATGTGAAAGTCAGGGACTCCTTTAGATATGTAAGATTTCAGTGATATTTTGTCCATTGCTGGAACCCAGCTCAACCCCCTCTGTGATGGTTCTTTTCTTGTCAGGGGCCACGATATCCTTACTTGAAAGACCTTTTTGGATAAAGGTGTGCTGGATTATGTGATACCACTTGTTGACTAATCATTGCTGCTTAAAAATTACTTGCTACTGTGATCTGGCAGCCTATAATCCTCGCAAAGGTTCTTGAAGTAGTCTTGTGAAAAATGCAGATACGTTGTAAGATACACAGAGAAGTAAATCTTGTTCTATTTGTAGGCACGACAGTAATATGGTCAAGATTTGAGCTTTCGGAGGCCACAAGAAAAGCTACGCTCAAGCAACGAATAGTTCCAAATCTTGCTTTGGAACCTTTTTCTGGTGGTGTCCATCTCACGTGGAGTTCAAAATCTGTGTAAGTGACCCTTTTGACTAAATAGAACGCATAGTTGGGGAAGAAAGGTTATTTCCTTGCAGGTAATTTTCATAGCATTCTTCTGCCAACTGTACTGACTTGTCCAGACAGAGGCTTGGTCAGTGTCAAGATGCCAAAGTGAGCTCTGGAGTTACATAGAGACTGTTTTGAAACAGAAATGGGGCTTTTTTTTTTTTGTTTTGTTCCAAGATTAAAGAAGGAATTGTATGTTAAACTGTTTGTAAAAAATTCTTCCTTTTGATACCATCTTTTAGAAACTAGAGCACAGAATAACCTGATGCCAACCACTGGTGTGGAAAATGGCTACTATTCCTGTCTAGTCAACTCAGCCATGTCATCTTCTTCTGCCCTTTTCTGTGGTACATGCTCTGCATTTGTGGTGGTAATGGTAGTGGTAAAAAGCTGGAGGAAAGACAGCCAGCTGCTCATTAGTACTTTACCACAAGAACCACTCTTGACAGATGACTATTAGCTCCATTCCCTCTTTCCCCAGTACACAGAACAACTTATGAGAGCACATATCAGAGCTTTCCTAAAGCCATTGGGAAGGCTTATCTTACTGATTCCAGCAGCTCAAAATGCCTGAAATCAAGACCTGATATTTTTTCTTCAGACAAGTCCAAAGAAGTGCTTTGTTGAGTCCTTTGCCAGAGGAAAATCTGCATCATCAAACCAGAAATCCTGCTCCTCACAAGTCTTTTAGTGACGATGATACTCTTCTTAGTCATACTGCCCCTTGGCTTGGTAAGTAACTGATTAAAACCTCCTTCTCTGCAAGAATCAGTGGTCGTTTGTAACTTCCAAGGATCAAACCATTAGTTCATTCAGGAATGAGCCCAAGAATACTTAGATTATAGCAAGTGTATGTATGTACAGGCCTTGTACTTACTGAAAGTAAGTACCCTGACTTTTGAAATTGATGCTCTCAAGCTCATGCCCTCTTGCAGAGCCAGTATTAAGAGTCTTCTTAATTAGTGATTACACCAGACTGCAAGAGATAGAAACCACCCAAGGATCTAAAGGCTACTATACCAAGAAATTATACAAGCAAGGAAGCCTGACATGAAAATGAAAATAAGTATGTAAAATGCTAGACTGTACTAATAAAAAGCAAGAAGCACACCAAGCAACCCTTGTCAGGAATCCATGAAGAACTGGAAAGCTTTCTAAAGAACGCACAATTTTGTCTTAGTATTGCATGAGTGACTAGAGGACCAGGAAAGCATGCCATGAGGTAGCAACAACCCTAGATACACCAAAGATCTTATACTTAGGCTTGTGAACCCTTTGCCCTGGCGGTGAGCAGAGGGTTTTCAAAAATCACTATCACACAACAGAGAAACAATGGCTGCGAGCATCAGGCAGACAGCCCTTAGACTGCAGGCCTTCCATCACTTTCCTACACATTTCCAGAGTTACTTTCTTCCAAAACATCTACCTTCTGACTTAACAATAAAATATCCTTTTAAAAACTGTGCTACCTAAACACTAATTAAAGTAACAATTTGATGTAGTAAGCATAAAAGCTCTGAGAAAAAAAGCAATCTCATCTTCAGCAACAAGGCATTAAAACACCTTCATCCACAGATGGACTTAAGTGAAAGTATCATTCCATAAAACTTGTGAAAAGCA